TGAGGGTCCCTCTACCCAGGTGCGTCAAACTGACAGCTGGGACTGTGAAGCACACAGGCTGGAAAATGCTCCAGGGTGGGGCCCCGCCTGAAAACTGTTCGGTGTGGCTGTGTTGGGATCACCCAAACTCTGGTCCGTAACTGCTCACCCACACTCTGTAGGTGAACTCAAGAAACTCATTGGTTCCCCAAGGTAAACTCTTAGGAATCATACTGTGGTTTATCTTAGGGCCTTAGAAGAAGAGGTAGATATTCATGTCACCCCACTCCCCTCCACCAGGGAAAGAATTATTTTAGCAACAGAGAGAATCATGAATTGTGACTAGCGATGTCCGAACATTGTCTGTTTTCCTTTTATTTTTATTTATTTATTTGATTTTTTAAAGGGTCTCCCTGTAGCCCCAACTGACCTGGAACTTGCTATGTAGACCAGGCTGGCCTTGATCTCACAGAGATCCACTTGCCTCTGCCTCCCGAGTGCTGGGATTAAAGGCGTGCGCCCCCACACCTGGACACCTGTTTTATTTTTCATTCACATTAATTCTACCACAGTGATAAAATGACAGAAATGAAAAAAAAAAGCCAGAAAGAAAAAAGTCCCACATGATACGCTTAAGTGTATAGCCACATATCTCTGGGTAGAGAGGTTCGTATACAGATTTTCTGTTCCTGTTTAATACATTTCTGATGTTTGCACAATTTGTCATCTTGGCAAAGAAGTGATTCAAAAGGAGAGGAAGTGATATGGATAGCTTTTGAAATTGTCTTCCCAGAAGCCCTGCTCACTGCCTTTGGCCTCAGGGCCTCCCATCAGGGAGGCTGGGCTGGGGAGTGGATGCTTCTGACAGAGCAGGCTGCAAAGCTGAGATCCATTTCCACACAAAAGCTCGGTCTTGGGCCATGACAGCTAGGAGCTGGGGCTGGGGGCAGGGCTGGTGTCCATGGAAGTCCTGCCTGTCCCCTGGAGCTGGGAGGCCCTGCCTGAAGGGAGGTACTGGAAGTCCCAACATCTATACAGGCTTGTCAGGGTTCTCCGACTGGTTTGGTGTTTGTCCTGTTCCTCTGGAGGAGTAGCACGAAGTTCACGGGTGTGGAAACATCATTCCCTATCCCACAAATATGTACAACTAGTGTGTGTTAAATAAAATAAAAATAAAATGCACAGGAGGGAAAGAAGGAAGATATCGAGTCTCCACCTGCAGCAGAGTGTGGGGTGGGAGGTCTTGAGCCCCATCCACTAGCTGCTCACAGTAGCCCTGGCCAGAAGCAAGCACCACGAGGAGGTGTGGGGGTTCATGTTGGGGGTGGGTTCCGTGCCTACATCCAGGCCCTGGTTTCATCACAAAGAATATCAGACGGGAAGGGCAATGTAGGGGACCCCATTGTGGCTGCCTCACAAATGTGCCAGCCAAGCTCATTTCCAGCGGTCCTTTGCCCTGGCTGTTCCACCTGCCCGGCATACTCTTCCATTTCGTCGTTGTTGTTATCTATATCCTCATTTTATATAAAGCAGGACCAAAACAAGGGGTCTCCAGTCTGTTTATCAACCTGCCTTAGCACTACCTGGATATGTGACACTGTGGCTTGTAACTCTGGTTCATGGCAGGTGGCACGCAAGCAAGCCTACAGGGTCACCTGGATCTGTCCCATTATTGTCGTATCGCTGGTGCACATTGTTGAATGTCCATCATCAAACCTGTCCCTGTTGCAGGCATCGCTGTGGTATGTGGGAATCAAGGGAGAAGAGGGTCATAGGAGAAATGAAAGTACCCCATGCCTAGCCGAGACGTTGATGCTTTGCAGCCTATGGGAGACATTTCCAAAGGTGTCTGTGTGCAAAGTCCTGGAACCTGGGAATCTGTTTCTTTCCTTACAGGGAAAAGGCGACTTTGCATATGTGATTAAGACCTTGAGATGGGAGACCATGCTGGGTCATCTGGGTGGTCCTGTGTTGTCACAAAGGTTTTTATAAAAGGAGCTAGAAGGAGAATTGACTGGCGAGTAGCAATAGCACCTGTGTGAGAAGTTGGAGGCACAGGAGGAAGGTGGTAAGGACACAAAGGATACAGGGAAATTCTAGAAGTAGAAGAGGCGAAGTACTTTTTACAGCAGCAGTAGGAAATGAAACCAAAGTCCGGACTGTGGGCTGCATCCAGGTCACCATTCTCTCAAGTGTGACAGCAGATGGTGGGCTACCAGGGTGATGTGTGGTCAGAGAGCAGGTAGTAAATTCCTGTCTGACCTGGATCAAATGAAGGCAACTAATATTAGAAATAAGAGCCCCCAAGGAGGAAGGTCTCAGGAGCGCCTATAGGCCTACAGCAACCAAGCTTCGCCCAGCACTAGCCAGGGAGTCCTGAGTCCCCATGGTCAGGGGCTTCCACAGGAGCTGGGAGGGGCTTTTACTGGCTGGCTGGGAACTTAGATCCCTGGAGCTTCCATCATTCATGAGCCATGGGTGACATGTTTACCCCTTTGGGCTGGATTGTGGGTTTGCTTTATCCAGCCCCACATTCCCAACATCTGACGTTAGTGTGTGCAGTGTTGAGTTAAATGGAAAACAACTCACCTGTGGTTGTCCGTGGCTGAATTCTCAGCTCTTTAGAGACCTGGACTGCTAACTGTCCAGCCTGTAATCTGTACATCAGGCTACCCCAAATGTATTCATTTATACTCTCTCTCTCCCTCTCCTCCTTCTCCCCCTCCCCATTTCTTCTGTGTGTAAAGTTCCATACTGTATTCAACTTAGTAGTGGTCTCCCAATTCACCTCCCTGCCTCACCCCAGTCTCATAGCTGCTCCCTCAAGCCCCTCTCTGGATACCCTGTTCCCTTCTCTCTAAAGTGCTTTTGGCGGGGAGGGGCTCCTGGGACCCTAGGATGTACCCACCCTTCCCTGAAGCTCTCCGGCCTCCTCTGTTTTCTGACTTCTAATCTCGCCTGCTCCTACAAGACCCAGGCCACAGGGGCTGTGACCTTCACTGGTGCCCTTCCCTCTGTCCATACCCAGCCCCCACCCCCATTGGAGGCCTAGCCACCTTCTATGCCCTCACTGCATTCTTCTCAGCAGATGGCTTCTCTCATTATTTGGGCCAGGAGGTCTACAGACAGGCCTGTGGTCTGGAGAGCGTCCACAGTGAGCTCTCCAGGTTCATTCCATGATTAGTCTTTTCTCCACAGCACCTTTTGGAGCTCAGACACTAAACATGGGAGCCCACCTTGTTTGTTGTGACACCTCAAGAGCAGGTGCAGATCCACCCTTGGGCTTCCTGCTCAGCCTGGCTTGCCCTGGGAACATCCCGGCTGTTAAGAGACTGAGGCTGACACCCACTCCCCCTGCCTTCCTCACACAAGGGCACCTCCTGTTCGACCCATTCTGCTTGTGATTCTGATCAGCTGGGCACTCTGCTCAGTCAAGTACTACTCTAGGACTTGGAGGTATCCCTAGCAGCCTCTGCTCAGCTTAGCCGACACCTAACACCTCCGGGGAAGGGGTGGGATGGGGTAGGGGTTGGAATATGAAGTGGGAAAAAGGAACAGGGGGCACCTGTGTGCCTGTGTGAGTGCTTTCATAGAGGAGCCTGGTCTGCCAGACTGGAAGTGGGGGTGGGGGAGGCCTTACCAATTAAGCCATGTTCTCATCACTGACAAGTTCAAAATGCCCTGCCTGGCCCATTTTTAGGAACAGTGCTCAGGATGAAGGGCACCCAGGACGGCACCTGCTCTGCCCCTGGTGAGGGAGTGACCTCATCAGCCCTACCTGCTGGGGGGGGGGGCATGGCCCCATAACCAAGTCTCTCTCTGAGTTCCACTGTCTTCAGACAGGACAGAATCCTGGCCATTGGAATCCCAGGGCTGCAGTGAGGATTATCAAAAGGGCCGCCTGTGGAAGGAGACCCTGGCCCTGAGGTGGGGGCCTTCTACGCCCACTGACTCTAACAGGCGTGTAAGGACTGGACAAGCGACAGAGCGCAGCCACCCGCCCCACCTAGGTGCCCCTGCGCGATCCAAACTTTCCAACCTGGTCCCCAGCAGCTGCTTCTGAAGTCGGTGGGTTATTTCAGACCACACTTTGAGGGACAAAAATATCCGGCGAAGTCCTTAATGGGACAGTTGTCTGCGCTTTCCTGGGCTTCCTAACGCTGCCCCTAACGCTGGGACCTCAAGACCCCAATCCGGCTGCCATCAGCCGCCCCGCCCCCGCTTCACTACGTCCACTTGGCTGAGCCTCTCCGGTGGTGGGGTCTCCCATCAGGTCCAGGCCCCCTCCTCCCCCGGGCTCGGGATGAACCCGCCCCTTCCCCACCCCGCC